AAACGTTAGGAAGAACAACCTTCAGAACATGGCCAAAGAGCCCAAAAAACCCACAACAACCATTAGATCCCGGCCATGAAAGCCTTTGTGGATATACATTTTAGAATTAAATCAAGGCTGACATACATGCATGGCATATTATCATACCACCCTAAATACACCTGATCTCATCTGACTTCAGAATCTTTGCAGGATCAGGCCTGACTTTTATTTAGAAAGGAGGCCATCAAGGAATATCAAGGATCTCCAGACAGAAGCAGGAAAACATCCTGCCCTGAAGTTCAGGAAAGCCACAGTCTGACTCAGGATAAGGCAGCTTCCTATGATCTTGTGCCTTTTTCATTTTGCATATATTCACAGAAGAGCTGGTTCACATGCCATAGATGCCACAAATCTGACTTACCCACTCAGCACACCCAAAACAAGATTGAGAACGAAGAAAGAGCCAAAGATGACCAGGCTGACAAAGTAAAGCCAGGGTAGTTCATGACCCATTGCATCCTGCATCTGGTTTAGAAAAGAGGGATAAAATTCAAAGGCTCATAAGTTTAGATGGGCTGCACTGTGTGAACTATTTCAGGGAAGGCTTAGTGATGAAGGTCCCGTCCCCACTCCAATCCCAGCTAAGGTGCTGGCTCACCCAGTAGAGCACATCAGTCCAGCCTTCCATGGTGATGCACTGGAAGACAGTCAGCATGGCAAAGAAGAAGTTGTCAAAATTGGTAATGCCACCGTTGGGCCCCTCCCATTTGCCACGGCACTCGCTATTGTTCACTGTGCATTCCCGGCCATGGCCAGAGAAGGCACAAGGTGATGGGTCCTCCTCAGCCTCCAGATCTGCAAGGCAATACAAAGAGGGTGGGTGATGGTAAAGAGAAGCACCATACTTTATTTGAGTGCCAAGCTAAATCAACCTTCACAACCCTTTTCAAATCTCTTAAAATGAGCCCTATAATTTTTATCATTTTTCTCTGAAAATAACCCAACAAAGACATTTTTTTTTAAAAAAAATCCATTTGGAATTACTATTTCTGAACCACAATTCAAGCATTTTAGGCATCATTTAAAAATGATCTAGTTTTTAAAATTCAGACATAGATATGTATCAAGGTATGCCTGATAAAGCTATCTGGGCCAGTGACATCATAGCACTCATGATGTTATCCCTGACTGGCTGGCATGACACCATGAAAAGCCTTTTCAAGATAGAGAAGAAGCTGGATGCTTACCAAAACAAGAACAGATGACTGAATAACTGCTGCAAACAGGCATGAAAAGGTATGTGAAAATGAAGCCTTCCATTGTCTTCAAAATGGCAATTGTCTCTTTGTAAAGAATTTCACAAGAATTTGACCCAGTGCTAGTCCCCTTCCTTGAAGGAAAAGAGCAGTGTTGTTCCTCTACACACCCTTTTATTTTAGCCTTAGGAGAGAAAGGGCAAAGAGATGCCCATCTTCCACTCCCAGGGTTTGCTGAACTATACCTGAACCAATGATGAAGCAGGTCTTGTGCATGCGGCCGATGAAGAGCTCCAAGCCGATGATCGCGTAGATGATGATGACAAAAAGGACAAGCAGCGCAATGTGAAGGAGGGGCACCATGGCTTTCATGATGGAGTTCAAAACAATGTGCAGGCCTGGTAAGAGGGAAGGGTTCAGGACAGAGAATCAGTTTTGCACAACAGTGCTCTTTCAGCATGAGCAGCACCTTCAGTTGCCTCCAGGTAATGGGGTGTGTGTGTGTGTGTGTGTGTGTGTGTGTGTGTGTGTGTGTGTGTGTGTGTGTGTACCTTGGGGGATATATGTTTGCAACCAGACAGATATCTCTCTCCATATCACAAGCCTGACCACAGATAACCTGGAGCTAATTCATTCACAGATGACCTGAATCTGTGTCAGATTTCACACACAGAAGAAGCTCCATCACCGCAATCTATTGAAAGTTAGCATGCAGTGCACTAGCAGTGCTGCCAAGTGGGGTAATGTGGCATGTATACAGAGTACATAGTGTGGTGCAATATGGAGCCATGGATTGCAACGTAATGCTGTAAATGGGCCTTACGAAGCAACCCGTTGGCTTTGCTGTCATTAGGGAGAGCAGGGGGAAATGCAGCAAGCGAAGAAGTACAATAAAGTAATCATGCAGAACAGATCAGTGTGCTAAGTGCAGCAAGGTAGCATTTATTATGGGTCACACAGTCTACCAACACATAGGCCTCTGCAAACCTAGCTGTATGTGGTGTGGCAGCTGTGATCCAATGTAGCAGATTAAATGCAAGCTGTAATATGATTACCGTACTAGTGCACTGCAAAAGGAACACCAGCGAACTACCAGAAAAAGGTTGCAGTGGCTAGCAGTCACAACATGCAGTGAGGGACAAGGATGTGCGGCCATAACATGGAGAATGGAAAAACTGCTGTGTCAAGCAATAGTTGCACTATGACATGAAAGTGCACTTGTGTACCATATGTTTGTTGGTTTACAAATACTGACCAATGGCAAAGACCTGAAGATTTCAAAGTGATGCATAATAATAAAAGACATAACAGAATAATACACTTGAATTGAAATATACAATTTTTCCATGGGAAAAAGGTAGTAGATCGCACTACACAGGACGGCTTGCAAGTACAGATAAATTTGAACCTGTGCCTAAGAATACATTTTGTTGGAGGATGCTGAGTCTCAGAAGAAAGAATGTTCTAACTGACATGCTGTGTGGGCATGTCTCACAAAAGTGTGGAGACGAAGTACATTATGGCACCTCTGTGCTCAGTTGCGATATAGAAACAACAGAAAGGACTGTGTGACCACAGTTGGCAGCAGTAAAAAAAGCTATATATAGGGAAGTGATGGAGAGGCTTACTGGGGACACCAGAGACGAGGCGTAGAGGTCGCAGGACGCGGAAGGCTCTCAGGGCTTTGACATCAAACCCACCCGGCTTCCCACTCATGTGATGGGCTTCCCCAGGCTTGTGGGAAACTTGTTCCAGGATGACACTGAAGAGGCTGTGGGAGAAAATGTTGAATAAGGTAGGGAAGACACTTTCTCCCAACACTCACCCACCATGATCCATGCAAAAGAACACCTGGTTTGTGAACACATGGTACCTGAATTCTGTGTGTGTTCCTGCCTAGAAAATGCCCCAGAAAATGCCCCTTAAATTACAGAAGTTTATTTAAGGTGCTGGCTCCACCAGTCAGCAATGAATTTAATGGATACACTGTAGTAAGGCGTAGCACTTAGATGTAGGCTATTTGACAGTTTCTTATTATGTTATCTCACCAAGGTCATTTTCAGCAATTCTAGGTAACATTTTAAAGTCTATCTAATTAGTGGCTGAACAAATCAAGCAAAGAATTCACTAATGAATTAACATTCTCAAAAAATTAAAAATGTATGTTTTTACAGGCTTGGATTAAAGCAAGTTGGAAGAGTGATTCTTTCCCTCATACATCCGGAATAACTCACTCCAAGTTTCCATGCCTGTTTCAGTTTTTCCTTGAATCTAACCTGGATTCTTCCCATTTTAATTTCCACTCCATAACACCATCCCCGCTTTCCTTCCTCCCACCTCTCTTCCTCCCTTCTTCTCATGCCCTCTTCACTCCCCACCCTGCCTCCTCTCCTCTCTCCTGACCTCCCAAAACAGAAGGTAGAGAGAGGTAAGGCACTCCCGCAGATGACATCATAGCCCATGTCAGGGGAGTTCAAATCCTGCATGTCCTATACAACAACCAGGCTTGTTCAAGACAAAGAACAAATGGGCATGACACATCTGGAACCAACTGGACTGCAAAAAAAAACAACAACACCACAGCACAGTGCCACACAAAAGGCCCAATTCCCAAGGGAAGGGAAACAATCCTGAAGTAAAAGGGAAGCAGAAGGGATTGATTCAACTCTCCAGTAACATCGCAAAAGGCCATTAAATAAATCCAAGTCAGTGGGTCAAAGAACCACCTCTTTAACTGCAACAAATAGGATGTGTGCACAAGTCCCAGTTTCCTCAGCAATTGAACATTAATGCACTAGCATTACTGTTATCATCTCTAAGCATTCTGTTTTCCAAAAGCCACCCCAACACCCATTCTGCCTGACCTCCTTCTGCTGGAGGAGGAAACAGCACCTTCTGAGTAGCAGTGCTGGGAAATCAGCATGGCAACCCCTGGCACCCCCTCAACATGCCACCATTTTTTTGTTCTGCTCTCCTAAATCATGTTGTGGCCCTGCTTATAGGTCCAACCCTTCCGTCTTCCTTTTCTTTACTTAAGCTTTCTTTTATGTCTATTTCAACTTTTGCAGAGAGCTGGATAGCTATTGTTTTACCATTAGAAAAGAAGAGCTAAAGTTTTAGGACACCCTCTCTTTGGGGAATGTTGTGGACTATCAAGATGTTTCCCCTCATGTTAGACATATAATCCACGCAAAATCAATGAATCAGGAACTCTCCATGGAACTGCTTTAGCCTTCCAATGCACTTCCAAAGCCAAAAACATTAGTACAGTATAGAGATAAAATTCCTTTTCCTCTCCTATGAATAACAATAGCTAATTTCAACAGCAAGGGTGGCCAGTGGGCAGCTCATCGGTACACAGAGCACCCCCCTCAAATAATCTAGAGAGCCACACATTTTCTCCCCTAGTAGCATGTGATGGGCAATTTGGCATTTAACTATTACTTTACCCTCCCCATCAGGTTACTGTAGGCTAGGAAAACCCTTTCTTAGAAACCAGCTGGCCAGGCCAAGGTCCAGGGGAGGGTAACAATGGCCCCTAAGCTCTCAGAGGTTGGCCATTCCTGCCCTACAAACCAAAAATATGCCTTTGCAGTACATTTTATTTCTATTGTATCACACCACTCCTCCAAGACAGCTCTCAGAAGCACTATTCTGGGTGGTTTACAACAACAGATAAGATATACAATACTAAATAGTGATTGTACAAAAAACATTAATAAAATAAGAACAAGCTGCATCAAAGACAATTATCTGAATGAGGTCAGGGCAGGAAGTGAAATAACCAAAATCAGAAAGGGTCGGCGTGGAAAGCCTCCCTATAAAGCAATGTTTTAAGTTTTTTCTAAACGTTATCAAGGAGGGAGGCAAGCTATTAATGTGATAGCTATAGGGATTGCCATGCAGCACACCTGTGCCTTTATATCTGCAACTTCTACGGTCAATACCTGTGCTTACAACCAACAACTTGAATCTATAGGCCCATGCCGGCATGCAGCAAAGTGGCGTCAGTCAATGGGCCAGAGGAGATCAGGCTCACATCAGCCCTCCCTGCTCGGTCATATCTGCGGGGCACGTATGTGACCAGATGCCTGGCTATATGTGCCTGGCACATCCAATCTTCACTCCACCCTAGTTTTGAGGGTTAAGGATCATCACTGTTGGTTAAGAGAGCTGACACACTCTGGGAGCTGTAGTCAAAAAAGTAATTTTTCCAAGCTCTGGGTCTGTCCCCATTCTAGCTGTACTCAAGGTGCAGAAAAATACCTCCATGGGGCTAAAGAGGTGGCAGAGTCAGTTACAGTTACAGTTAGGCATCCTTCAGTCTCGAAAGACTATGGTAACGTGCTCTGTATGGAGGACTTGGAACAGCGCCTAGTGTGGCTGAGAAGGCCAATTCGAGAGTGACAATCTCTTCCACACTGAAGACAAATCCAATCTGTCCCCTGTCCGGCTCCCTGGTTTTGCTGCTTTTGTGACTTCCTCTTTGCCTCGGCCTGTTGGGCAAGGGTCTCTTCAAATTGGGAGAGGCCGCGATGTAGTGCCTGCCTCCAGGCTGAACGCTCAGATGTCAGGGTTTCCCATCTGTTGAGGTCTATTCCTAAGGCCTTCAGATCTCGCTTGCAGATGTCCTTGTATCGCAATTGTGGTCTCCCTCGGGGGCGCTTTCCCTGCAGTAATTCTCCATAGAGGAGATCCTTTGAAATCCGACCATCAGCCATTCTCACAACGAGCCCGAGCCAACGTAGACGTCGCTGTTTCAGTAATGTATTCATGCTGAAAATTCCAGCTCGTTCTAGGACTACTCTGTTTGGAACTTTGTCCTGCCAGGTGATACCAAAAATCCGTCGGAGGCAACGCATATGGAAGGTGTTCAGCTTCCTCTCCAAAATGGGTTCAGTACCTTGAATAGCTCCTTTAAATTTCAACCCAAAGCAGATTCAACCTCTCCCCGCCTCCTCTCAAATCGGAGTCAGAACCTTCCACTGGATACTATCTTTGGCAACTGCCTTTCAGGCCCTTTCAGAAAAAGCCTCAGTCAAGCTTACTCCCTTCCCACTAAAACTGCTGGGCACATGCTGTGAGGATTAAACGGCATAAGTTACACACTTCTCATGCAATTCAACATTCTTTTCTTTCTTATTCTTCATTGGTGTCACAATGCAAGCAATCCGATGAGGCTTCCAGAGTGGAAGGATCAGCCTGCAGGGTGTTGCTTATGCCCAGGGGATGTCCAAATGCATTCATAATCCTTACATTCCCTGGGGAGGCTTATTCGTTGTCCCCCCTTCTATTATTCTAAGCATATATGTCTGGTTCAGATTGGGACCAGCACTATTGTGACAGGGGTTGTGCCTCAACACTTCTCTCCAGCTGATTTTTGTTTCAAAACACCCTCCCCCAACCATAGGAACTTAAAGGGACTGGGGAAATCAACTGGCAAACATGCAGAAGACTTCTGTACCTTTCAGAATTTGGCAGAAGAAATAATTTGGACAAGTGCTCTTTTACCTATCACATTTCTTTACATATTAGCAAAGCTATTTGTGCAACACTTCCTTCTATAAGGCCATAAACCGTTGTCAGAAATTGCCCATAGTTGAAAAAGAGAAATCTGCGACTTATGGATGCATTTCAGCATCACAGCAGGAGTTTCTCCCACCTTGAAGAATATGCAAATTAGTTTGATTGAAGCACAGGATTCTTTTGAAATCTTATTTCAAACCCACCGCCACCAAACCGCTTCAAACGCCTCTCTGAATCACCAGTGTGTTTTCAGCTTTAATTAAAAGCTTTCTCTAAAGTTCATTTCTGGCCTAAGTCATCATCACTGTCTGTTCTGTACAATTATTTCCTTTGAGATGTTACAGGAGATGAAATTTTGGACCATATCACCAAATGCCCCCGTGTACATTTCCCATGAAAGAACCAGGAAGCCTGTGGATTTGCACCCACGCTTTTTTGCTCACCCCACCACAACGATGACAAAATCCAGAAGGTTCCAGCCATTGCGGATGTAGGCGCTGGGGTGCATGACCAAACCATAGGCAAGAATCTTGAGGAACGTTTCCACCGTGAAGATAATGAGAAAAACATACTCGACTTGCTCCTACAGAGTCAGGACAAAAAAGGCCAGAAGCATCCAGTTATACTTCTAAAGCATACAGCATTCACATCCCTGGGAAGCAAACCATCACTGCATCAGGGTGGGAACATTGGAAGTGGTCGTTGTGGGTTTTCCGGGCTCTTTGGCCGTGTTCTGAAGGTTGTTCTTCTTGACGTTTCACCAGTCTCTGTGGCCGGCGTCTTCAGAGAACTGAAACGTCAGGAAGAACAACCTTCAGAACACAGCCAAAGAGCCCGAAAAACCCACAACAACCATTAGATCCCGGCCGTGAAAGCCTTAGGGAATACATTGAACACTGGAAGCCTTCCCAAAACCTCCAAAGTCAGGGCAATCCTGGGCAGAACCATCTGAACAGTCCACAAAGCCAGTTCCAGAAAGAGTGACTGGGAATTGAGATCAAGAAAGGAATGGCGGGAATTTCTCTGGATTAGCAACATCTCCCTTCAACACCAGCATGAGCAGCTTACAAGGCAGGCAGGAAAACAGGAGTGACATACAAACACACAAATGCCAGCAGCGCAAATCAGAGGGAACACCCCATCATCCTGGAAAAAAAGGAGCACACGTGTTTTGCGGTTTGCAAAATTAGGGAAGCACAGGGAGGGAGAGAAAGAGAGAGAGACCTGTAGAGCTACATTAGAAAACAATGGGAATCTTAGTTTACAGCTCATTCCCCTAATATCCTTTTGAGGTCCATGTTTCCTGCAAGCACTGGAAACAGGGGCCTGTGCAGTTAGCTCTCCGAGTCCTCTTCCTTTTCTTCCACATCAGTAAATGCATTCTTTGCTTTTAACATGGACAGAAGCCCTGAATTCCATTTACCCCCTTTTAAATTAGGGAACCCTCTTCCTTTCCTGAAGTAGCTACATGCTTTGAGAACAGTGCATCTTTCCATGTTAAAATCAGGGTGGGGGAGGAGGAAGTGGGGTAATAGTGCAAAAATGAGATCAAGTTTATTTCTGTGTCAAACATGTCTGGATTTACCCCTAAAAGGGAGGACAGGAACCAGGAACTGGCCCCCATCCAGATTCAGTCCATGGATTATTCTGGATTTACTCCAGGGAAGCTGGGATCAAACGGTAGCCTTGACCCCAGCTGCAATTAGCAGATGAGTTCAGTTTCGGAGGGGAGCTTTGCTGGCATCATCTCAAGACCCCCTCTGAGTTCCCAGAATGGGAATGGTGTGGGCTACTGGAGCACAGCAGGACAGGACTGGGAGCGGTGGGGCAGGACCAGTTGCCTCAAGTGGCCCAGTCAGGTGGTGGATTAATGGTTATTACGAGATAATACAGTAGTTTTAATTGGCATTAACATGCTGCCTTAGGTGGAAATCAAGAGGTAAAGATGGAATCGTTAAGAAAGGAAGCTAAGAGGGAATGTATACGGGGTTAGAAGGAGGAGACCAAGGGGAGGAGGAGAGATGGTGAGATTCGGGATTTCTGGCTTCTGTAGAGGGTGGCCATGCGTGCTCTTTCAGGGAGCCCAATTTTCCATATGAAGGGCTGCCAGAAGGAAATCCTCCTGTTGAAGATGACCTCCATTGAAAAGATTGTTCAGTCAGAGTCTGATCTGATGATGAAGATAACAGAAGGAGAGCAAGGCCCATCCCTGGACACCAGGATTAGCAACCACATGGGTCACTTGGTCTCTGTTTTGCCCATCTGAGGTGCAGTGTAATTCTATTTAAATCATCAAAATCATTTCTTATATTGCAGTTACACATCCAAGTTAGCAAATGCATTTTAATGGATTGGTCCTCCCTCCTATTTTTTGATGATATAAGCCAAGTGGTTTTTTTGCTGAGTGAGAGAGAGAGAAAGAGAGAAGTAGCCATCTTATTCTTATAGAAAGAAAATAGGTCTGACAAGTTGGAGCAAAGGAACCAAGATTTGTGGCTTAGTCTCAAGCCGTCACCCTGTGACAGGCCATTTTTCCATGCAGCTCAATACTACCAACTCTGACTGGCAGCAGTTCTATAGGACCTCTCACGCCTCCCTCCCTCTGCTCTTCAAAATCCTAGAGATGCCTAGAGTTCAACTTGTGGCCATCAGCGTGCAAAGTGACTGCACCACTACTGAGTTCAGTTCTCACCAGCCCTGCCAGCCCTTCCATCCCTTTGCAGTTTTGTGCAAGGTACTCACCAAGTTGTGGTTGGAGACATTGGAATCGTCTTCAGGGAAGGGAATATAGACTCCCAAGGCCACACAGTTGGCAAAGATGGTCATAAGGATGAGGATGTCAAAGGGTCTAGGAAGCATTCAGTTAAGGAGGCAAGCACGAGTCTTTTTTTTTCCTCACCTCCTTGCCTCCACCAAACCCAAACAAAAACCCCCAACCCTCTCCACTTCCCCCACCCAGTCAAGCTTCTCCCGCTTTATTAGTACAGGATACTTCCATTCCACAATGCTGATAGCAGCCCTGCGGATGGGATTGTTCAGCCGGAGGCAGAAGAGAGCTCGAGGAGAACGGTGGACCACATTGGCACCTTGCTGGGTCTTGTGTTTGTTGTGCTGAAGACGCTTCTTTTGGGCATTGCTGCTCGTAGAGCCCAAGGTATCTGTGCATCCACTGGTGAGTGTCCAGGCCAAGGCCTGGCCTGTTGCCTCTACAAAAGCCTCAGCTGCTGAGCGTGGTACCTCAGGAGGTCCGGTTGCTGTGGAATGGGGTGGGGTGTGACGTTTTAGGTGTGACCCAAAAGCCTTTCAAGACTAAACTAAGCTGTTTCTCAATTAAAGTAAAACTTCAACATTCATCCTCCCTTGCAAACCACTTGTCAGAAAAATGAGTTAAATAACATAAAATATAATCAAACACTATGTGGCTTTTCCAAGACGGAGGCCCCAGTGAGGACAAGCTGAAATAAAAATATCAGACGCTCACCTTGTCCCTGTGAAGCAACTCCAGACATTTATAGCATTTATATAACCCCATTTTCAGGCCCACCTTTATTTCAAAACTCTTCACTTCACTTTACTCTAACACTGAACCCGTACATGTTACTGCAGTTCTACTTTCTGTTCCAGTCTGAAATCATCCCTCCCCCAAAAAAACTCCCATCCTTTTTCTTCAACCTGGCTTAACCTCAGAGACCCAGTGTAATGCCAAAGTTTTGCTTGATGCTGTTAACAGCTGGACTGCAGATCAGCCATCTTCTACTCACTCCTACAAACCTACTTATTTCAGTACTCCCACTTATGTCTTAAGGCTTCTGTATGGGTGGTAGGGCTGCAATCTTTCCAGGTGCATTTACTAAGGAATCTATGAACACAAGACGACTTACTTCTGCATAAAAATCTATAGGACTGAAGTGTATGACTCTTGCCTGCCTTCAAACACCTCACCTCTACCCCCAGTAACCCAATACATCAACATGGAGTCACTCACGTATTCCGTTGCACTCTGACATCTTGCTGGCTGGTTGCAGAGGTGAGGGGGCTGATGTGTCTTAATCCACAGATGATGCTAGCACTTCAGCAAAACTCTCTCATCATCTTGCGATGGAGGGCCTTCCATTCTTTCGGCTTTTCTCCCCGGATGGGCAGGAAAAGCCAAGATATCCTCAGGTGCTTTCATGAGAGGGTGGAGGTAGAAGCCTGGTAAGAACCCCCAAAATACACCCCCTTGCTTTTGAGCCCCCCTCCCCAACCCAACCCCACTTCCACTTGTCTCTGTTTCACACTCGCTGGCTCCCCCTCTTTCTTTTTCTGTCGCTGTCCCCGCTCCGTTCCCTTGCTCGGCTGAGGATTAAGGCAGATTGCCTACTTTAAAGGGCAGCGCAGGAGGTAGGGAGGAGGGAGCTCACAGCTGGTTAGGTCACTGACTGTGGACAGCCAGGGACATCCCAGCGAGCCAAGCTAGGCTTGTCCCAAGGAAAAGGGTGATGTGAGTGAAATAGGAACGGTCTTGACCCAATCAAACACATCACACCCGAATGTGTCAAAAGCAGAGAAAACAGACTCCTGTATCTGTCAGGGCAGGGGAAATCCCACTGCAACTATACATGGATACATGACATATCTGTGGCAGCCTTTTGCAAGAGCAGCAGGTCCCCTTCTTTCGGAAGGCAGTCCTGCTTCGACATTCTTGGGCACAAATTACTGCCTGTTCAGGGACATGTTTGAGTGTTAGACATGGTCCTTCTAAACCCTGATCAAGCTATGTGATACAGACAGCAGGTGGTGATGATGATGAAACCATATTAGTGTTCCATGAGTGAGACTCCCTCAGAACGTTCTGCCTGAACAACCAGAAACTTGTGTTTACCTCTTAATGACTGACTACAAGACAAAGCAGGGCAATACGCGAGTAACAGGAAGCAAGCAAAGCTCCTACTATGCCAAATGTCTCAGCACTTATGGAATTCTTACTTCTAAAAGTCTCACTGAGTGGGACGCTAATTTTGTATCCTAAATGTGTCATTTAAGAAGAAAAGACTATCTGGCTGTTTGTTCCAAGGTCAGCTTGCTCAACCTACATTTAGTAAATGAGCTTGCTTTTGTTTCGTAATTGGTCAGCTTGGAAATAGCATAGTTTTATTTGAGTCTGATGTCTCAGGTGCTGTAGCACTTATGTATTTGTGTTGATTGGAGGCATAAAGTTGTAAGAGGAGGAAATCTGTTTTTGTTTTTAAAGCTAAGATTGACATAAGGCCCAAATAATGTCTAGCAAAATCATTAGGCTGTCCCCCACTTACTTGAAAGACCATATGTAACCTTAAAGTATTTGTTGAGAGTTCTGCTCTGAATATTCCTGCCAAATAGATTGAACCACAGGCTTCACTAAACCCCACACAAAAAAAGGCTTTTTGGTAGTGAGAATCAAGTTATAGCCAGAGAGGTTTTCTTGGTGCCGTTGTTAGGGTCATTTCAGGATCGGACAAAGATCTTTTTATTTAACAAATCTTTTTAAAATTACACTCAATTTGAACTTCTCAGTTTAAGCTTTGCGCTTCAACTATTTTAGTTTTCACATTGGATTTTTAATGTTGTTATCAATTGTGGGCTGTCAAGAGAACTTGTGTTGGAATACGGCATTTAACAAATAGATGAATACTGGAAAAAAAAGCTCTAGATTTTTTTTCCCCAGTAACGCTGCTTGTAACCTTCTGGTACTACTCTGCAAATTAAATAGTTTTAGTAATACTGTATTTTCTATTCTTGTTGTATAGCACTTGAGATTGGATTAATTTATTTTTTAAAAGACAAAAAATATATATAATCAGAAGACAATGCTAGCCTGCTGTCAGTTCATGAGGGGAAATGTAAGGTTAAGCCAGCAGTTTTAAAATACAGTGGCGCCTCGCTAGACAGTTACCCCGCATGACAGTTTTTTCGCTAGACATTGACTTTTTGCTATCGCTATAGTGATTCGCAAAACAGTGATTCCTATGGGGAAATTCACTGGACAATGTTTGATCCCTGCTTCGCAAACCGATTTTCACTATACGATTTTGACAGCTCCCTCCGCACTCGCAAAATGGGTGTTTTCGGGATCTAAGCTTCGCAAGACAGCTATTTAAACAGCTGATCGGCGGTTCACAAAGCGGCTTTCCTATGGCTGATCTTCGCTAGACAATGGCGATTCTTCCCCATTGGAATGCATTAAACAGGTTTCAGTGCATTCCAATGGGGAAATTCTTTTCCCTAGACAATGATTTTGCTAAACAGCTATTTCAGTGGAACGGATTATCAATGTCTAGCGAGGCACAGCTGTATTGAGATAAACTTTGTAAATGTAAAAATGCGTTTTGTCTCCCTGACTTTTAGCAGGTTATGTTTTGACTTCTGCAAATGTAAAGCATTGTTCTTCAGTTGATATGTCACTAGTGGGACCACACCCCAACTTAAGGAGAACTGGAACACCAACGTTATTACAAGAGTATTATTAATTGGACATGTCATCTTCTGGTTGCTGCACAATAGTGGACGGTGGGGTTTCACTTAGCTAGGGCTTATTTTTGGGGTAGGGCTTATATTATGAGCTTCCTGAAAAATCATACTAGGGCTTGTTTTCAGGTTAGGTCTTATTTTTGGGGAAACAGGGTATTGATAGGAGATTCAGGAATCTGGTCAGCTTTTGTACACGACTGTAGGGGAAGGGGTGCACCATCCACCAATTTGTCTCAGGCGGGAAAATATCTGGGGCCAGCCTTTTTAAGTGCTGTGGAAACTTCAAAGAGCAAAATGTAACATCTGCCTTCACTGTTTTCAAACTAGCCGGGCCTATTTCCACTTTGTTTTAGCACGACTGCTAGATGTTCAGATAGCACAGTTAATTACACCAAACGTCCAATTAAGCACTTTAGCTCCCACAAAAAATTACAGAAGCCTTTTTTGGTGGTATCTGGTTCTGATGGTCTATTTATTTAACGTCCCTCTGCTTCGCCAGAGAGAAGAAAAATACAATGGAAAAAGAATTAAAAGGTCGAGTACGTAACACGTCCAAACTAAACACCGATTTGGTCGATACGTTAATAATGGCGGTGTTTCGGCTGCTAGGAAACAGACCCCCCCGCATTGCGCCTTCACTTCTAGTTCCTCTCCTCCGCCGCCGCCCCTACGGATAAAGCAAGACTACAACTCCCAGCATGCTTTCTGTTCTCGTTAGAACGGACGGCTCGAGCAATACAAGGATAATAGACAACAACAGAAATACTTTGACTGGTACAGCCAGATTCCTGGTTCACTCAGGAAGATTTTTTTTTCTCTCACTTATTTTTTTTTCCTCTCTCTCCTTTATGGCTGGAAGCGAGACGTATAAATAATCGATGGAGAAAAGTCTGATTTTAGCGTAGCAGTAAAAAACAGCAGCAAAGGCAGAACTTCCTGCTCTTTTCAAAGTAAGCCTCATTTTTGCGTAAGGGTGCGCATGTTTTTTTTACAAAAAGATATCACCCATTAAAAAGTGCAAGACACCTGACCTTAGATTTAGTCTGGGGACCTGAGGGAAATTTAGGGGGAAATGATCATTGTTGCAAACTGAGAATATTTAGCGTGTGTGTGTGAGGGGGGGGGATGTTGATCTGGGAACCCATGCCAGCCATATTAGCGGCGGACTCGATTGCAAGGCTGTTATAAACGTATGGATGTGAAAGCTGGACAGTTAAGAAAGCAGACAGGAAAAAAACTGATTCGTTTGAAATGTGGTGCTGGAAGAAAGCTTTGTGGATTCCATGCCAGAAAGACACACAAGTGGGTCCTAAAACAAATCAAGCCTAAACCATCTCTGGAGGCAAAAATGTTGAAACGGAGCCCGCCCTGCTCTGAGCACATCATGAAAAGGCAGGATTCATGGTGGAAGGCGGCAGGAAAGAATAAATACGAGAGATGGATTCACTCCATCAAGGGACCGCAAGCTTGAGTGCAGGGCAGCTCAGGATATTTTTGAGATCGCTCATTCATAGGGTCGCCATAAGTCAGAAGCGAACTGGGAGCCCATCACAACAACTATCACAAGGCTGTTACAAAATTGCTGTTTCCCGGCAGTTTAATGAATGATATAGGTATTTGCATTTGCAGGGGGAAGAAAGACCTTAACATTTTCCAGACCCAGAAAGCATAAGTATCCGCAGAAAATAAGACTTGAGTATTGCTGTCTTTTGTGAAAAGAGGAACACCCTGCCACCTAGTTGCACATACATGTACGAAAAGCCTGATTTCCTGGATTGTATCTCTCTTATCTCTTTGCTCTCTATGGGCTGAACTCCGAGAGGGCGCTTTCGTGGCGAGCGGGGCGCCCCAGACCCTGAAGCCCAATCGGCTAGCGGCACTGCATCCCCCAGAATGCTTTGCGGCTGGTCTCGTGACTGAGCGCCTGCCTGGCCCAGCTCAGAGCAGAGGGAGTGGTGAGTACGGGTGGCTTTCCCTCGTCTTGCCCCGCCGCCTGGGGCAGCCGCCCGCCTGGTCCCGTGGGCCGCCTGCCAAAGTCCGGGCTCGCCCGGTCGGTCGCCTCGTCATGAGCTCCTGCCAATTTGCAGGCCCCTCTGGGTCCCCGAGGCACCCAATTCCCCCAGTGGGGCTGCCTCTGCCATCACTTCCTTTTGGTCTCCTCTCCCCCAAGGCTTCAGCCCATCTTAAGGCTGGGCTTCGGGCGTGTTTACTTTCCACGAGGTTGGCGTGAAAATCTCGTCAGGCGCCTTACCGTGTCATGCACGTTTGCAAGGGTGGAATATAGCTAGGTGTGGCGCCTTTTTTTTCTTAGCTTTTGAAGAAAAAGAGGGAATGTGGGGGCTTTCCAGGCGTTGTTGGACTGCCCACTCCAACCAGCTGCTAGCCAGCATAGCTCCTAGTGAGGGATGGTGAGGGTTGTAATTAACGATCTCTGGAGGGTCACACTGACCTCGCCTGCTGTCTTTAAAACCTGGCGGCCTTGCAGTGGCATTCTGTTGGTGTGAGGATGTCGGCTGCAATATGTACTATATGATCTTGGCAATAATCAATACAGCAAGATAGATTGCCACAGCTGTTGACTCCTCCCTCCCCTGTCCTCCTCCTTGTTCATGTTTGTTGTTGACATTGTATTCTGAAACAAATGTGCCTCTAGCAGTTACCCCACAGCAGACTGAGAATGAATGGGGGGACATCAGACATCTAGAAGGAATAGAGGGGGAGCTGCGGTGATGACACCCCCTCTTGCAATGGTCTTTGGCCCTGCAAATATTTTGTACTACTATTGATGAGGCTGGGTGAAGCTGATGGGAGTTGAACGTCAAAGCATCTGCAAAACCAAATCTCCCGAGCCTGTGATGCATTTTAGCATAGTCATGCCTTGCAACCTTGCACTTTAATTCAGTTTGAGGAGTCTCTGTGTTACTGCTTATGCTCTTGATCCCAACCCTCGTTTCAGAATGGAAGTGGCCCTCCACGTGTTCTCTCTTTGCAACATGGCCATTCCAGATATTTGGGATGTGAAAGTATCCCCACTCCTGTAGAAAGAGGAAGACCTGGCTCAAACTGAGCTTTATGTAAATTGGAAAAGGAGAATGGGTGTCACCTCTTGGTCAATCCTGCCATGCTACATTTCTCAAAAGATACTTCCACTGTGTCAGAACAGCCCTCTGTTACCTCAGAGGACCAAGCTTCCTGGTATGAAGGAAACCATCATCATCTTAGAACTGCAGAGTTCAGCCCTTGTCAAGGAGGCACAATGGGGAATCAAACTCCCAACCTCTGGCTTCACAGCCAGAGACCTAACCACTGAGCTTTTTGCCACAGAACATAGTCCTTTTGTATTCTCTGCACTCCTCTGTTGCATCTACTCTTAGCAGTGGCTACAGATTTGACCAGTTCTGTCCACTGCCTCCTCAGTTGATGCACCTTCCCAGAGACTAGCCACTGAAGTCTTTTAAACTGAGAAACAGTCTTGTTCATTTACTTTTCTTTGTGTGTTTGATGGGCCATGCTGGATCAGACCACCCTTTTATCCCTACAGTGGCCCTGATCATCCAGCCTACTGTTGCATAGGAAACGTTAAGGGACTTGTTGCAGTGACCTAATGAGACTTGCATTGCTACTGTAGTCACTCTTGTAATATTGCTTTGTCTTTATTTTTTTAAGGGGGTTCCCATATCCATAGATGTTCTGGCATCATGGAGGAGGTGGACAAGATCCTCATACATTCCCTCCGCCTCTCTGGGACGTAAGGCCACATTTATGCTGTGTTATTGTATGTTTCATTCTTTGTAGGTGACGTTAGACAAATAAATGCGGTATTCTGCTCTTCCCATTGCTGAATGGGAGTGGAAAGGGATCTGAAACTGGGCACCACTAAAGGATTTGAAGAGGGGTGTGGAAATGTTTGTTATGGCTTGATGTACATGCGCTGCTGTAGATGCCTAGAATTGCCAAACACTCTTCTGCTGCAAGTCTAATAGAGCAAGTGCCATGATACAGGGAGCAGGCTGAAACTCTGCATGGAAGCTTTATTTATCAACTGCCTTCATTTAAGGGTTTTTTTTTCCCAGCAAGAATTTAACTGGTGTTACACAGTCATGATTTTTCTGTGTCACACCAGCTCCTTGCTTTTAGCTTGGGGACTTTGAGTTTCTCACAGACATTTGCTTTGGTTCCTACTGGACGTTTGCTGCCTCTGACTTCTGACGGTTGTGTGGGAGGAGGTAACTGGTGGTTGCTTGGTGACGAGAGCTGGATTAATCACTGAATGCAAAACCTTCTAGGTACTTCTGAGACTCCCTTTGCAAAACAGTAATCATTAGGATTGAAGGATCCCCGTTATAGGAGACCTGCCCATCCTAATCCTCTGTAGTAGGGGATGTTTGGCCCCCTGATATTGCTGGACTACAATGCCCATCAGTCCTAGCCAGGGTACTCATTAGGGATAATGAAGGCTGCAGTCCCAATAAACAAGGTTGCAAGCCACATGTTCCCCATCCCTAATACTGTAAAGATTCTGTCAGCAGTTCTTGCAATAATCATGTAAGATAATGCTAGTGTATTTTTATATAGCAGGTCTGGGGCTGAGGCTGAGAAAATTTAATAATAGAGCATAAGCATGAGAGAAGGGACTGCCATAGGTTGAAGCATCTTGTATACCACTCTGGGACCCTTTTTTGTCTTAAGTGGTTGGATAGCATTGTGATAGAGAGATAGATGATGGCGGCTTGCCTCATGGCTCAAGCGAGATGTGAATGATGGTCCCTTTGCTCGCACGACAGTTCAGTCTCATGCATATATGTTTGCACAGAAGTTTTACTTAAGTCTCTACCTTTCACTGACCCTCTGGGGAGACTGTGGACCATACGGCCACTCGGTTGCTCTTTCGCAGTTGCCAGGCCCTGGAAAGGAAGAGGAAACGGCATCATGTTACTCCCACCAGTTGGCAGTTTACATAGTTAATGCAGTTGCCAGGCAGGGTCCTGTTTGGGGCAAATTGCACAAAAGGATGTAGCTGTTGGCAAGACAGTCCCTGACACAGGTTTGGTCCAGCCATTATCTGTAATTTAGAGGCTGTACTTGGGTCATGATTGGCCGCCATGTCATGCCCTCCACCAAGCCCTGGCTGTAGTTTAATAACTGGATGGCTTGGAAGGTATAGGTGAGGCTTGGGGTTTGAGTGGCCCTCCGGATGTTGCTTTGACCCCTGTTTGCATCAGCCTGGCCAGAGGTAAGGGATAGTGGATATAACAGATCATCACGATTTGGAAGGTTTTAAGTTTCTCACACATAGTTTGGGCTTTCATTTCAACATGTGAAGAATGTAACCCTTCCAAATGAAGCAACATCAACACTTCAGGGTGGCCCTCTAATTCCGGCACTGCTTCTCTTTCTTCCGCTCCCCAGGGACATCCCAGATGAAGTCCAGAGCATCCGCGAGTTTACCACGGAGTTGATTATTGAGTCTGTGGTGCGATGCCTTCGGGTTATCAGTCCTTCTGTGGGGGCAGGCCTCAGCCACATCCTGCCCCCTGGCATGTCTGCCCGTTTCCGAATTGGCATGAGCCTGGCGCAAGCCTGCCAGGTGAGTACAACGGAGATCTTGTAAATCCACTCTTGTTTTGAGAAGTTTGTCCTGCAGCAAAGGTACAGTGGTGCCTCGCATAGCGAGGTTAATCCGTTCCGGATTAACCATCGCTATGAGAAACATTGCTCAACGAACAAAAAAACCCATTAAAACGCATTAAACTTGGTTTAATGCGTTCCAATGGGCCCTAAACTTACTGTTGAGCGAAGCTTCTCCATAGGGGCGGCCATTTTCGCGCCCTCGCAAAGCGAGGGCGCAGCGGGAAAAGTTGCAGCGGCCATTTTGGAACCGCCGATCAGCTGTTCTCCCCTGCTTCGTTGTGCGAAAATCGCTAAGCGACTCGCTTAGCGATCGTAGCTTCGTTGTGCGAAAATCGCTAAGCGAATCGCTTAGCGATCGTCGCACAGCGAAAAAACGCCATGGGGGCCATCGCTGAGCGAACGCTCCAGCGATGGCCCGGACCCCCTCGCTATGCGAATTCATCGCTCAACGGAGTGATCGCTAAGCGAGGCACCACTGTATTTTGAGAGGGGGCAACACTGTCCCTGGTGGCACCACAAGTGCTCTCTTGCTGCTGTCCAAGGCCCTCTGCTCCTCTAGGTCAAAAGACATTAAGTGTAAACACGGGCAGAGCTCCAGCTCCCCCACCCTCCCTGTTTCCCTTGCCCAGAACACTTCACAGCCTATGGCTCAGGTGCAGAAAAAGCTGGGAGACCCCCTAAGGTCATGAGTTTGCCTCTTAAGTGCTTCAAGCTCAGGACTGTGAGAATCTGTATCGATGCACTTTATTAGACTCTGTGAGCTAACTTGGATACTGTGGTCCTCGTATGTTTGAGCATGTTGTAAGCCTGTACAACGGCATCTGGAAACACTGGAAGCAACCCCGACTCCACCTCTACTTCAGAGAGATGGGAAATCCCGTTATTGGAAGTGGGGATAAGGAACAGGGGTACCTTTCAGCTCCCATCACCCCCTGGCCAACATAGCCAGCAAGGAAAGATTGTGGGTGTTGCAGTGCAGCAACATCTGGAGAACAACAGTCCTGTTTTAGCTGTTGTGTCATGTTCACCAGGCATGCCCTGCCACTGCCGCCACCACCGCCACCCCTTTTCTATACTCACCATTTGTTTTCTCCCATCCAGGACTTGGGCTATCAAGGGGAAGTTGGCTACCAGACCTTTTTGTACAGCAGTGAGCCTGAAATCCGTCGCCTGCTCCTCTTTCTCGTGGAGAAGCTGCCGCGGGATGCTTCAGAGGATGCTGACCAGCCTGTGGGTATGGAGGATGCTCGGCAGAATCAGATTCAAAGACAGTCAGAGAGGGGCTGAGTTTCAAGTTCTGATTTCTCTCTCTAAACTGATGTGTCCTTTCAGGCAAGTCGACAACACTCCACAGAGCCATTGCTGCTGCCGTCAAGGAGCAGCTGGCTGTCCCCTGGGTGCCCCCCACCTGCCGAACCCCCCGTCTGCAATTACTACAGGTTTGTTTCCTCATCACTCCTCTTGGGTTAAGGGCATCAGCAGCAGAATCCCCTACCAATGTTTTATTGTTGAGAATCGTTATGCTATGTTATGTTAGAACCAAAGCATTTTTACTCATCTCCTGTTAAAGGGATAATTTGGGAGATATGCAGAGTCTCCAAAAGATTCTCATCAATCTTGTATCTTGAGGTGGTCCTCCAGATATTATTGGACTGCAACTCCTATTATCCACCACAGCAGCTATGGTGGTTGGGACTGACGGGAATCACAGACTGAGCAGTGAAGGGTCCCAATAGGCCCATCCCTGATTCACCTGTTTAGCTACCAGGCCATTGCCTATCTGCCCAGCACATTTCCCTAGGATTCCACACACACACACAGTTGTTCCCTCTCATTCTCTCACACTCCTTCTGGTCGCATTTTCTCAACATCTCTGGAACCCAGGTACATTGTTCTACACAAAACATGTGCATGCCTGTAAGCTAGCCTACAAATTTATTTACATTGATTTGCACATTGTAAGCCAATATTATATAGCCCCACTTCCCACCTAAAAATGTGTTCCTTTTCTGTGCACTCTTACATTGCCCATTTTCTAATGCATTATTTTACTTTAGGTTTTTCCAAACCCAATTCTGTAATTTGGGTTTACAGAACTTGTTTCCCCTTGTGGTACTCGGGGTGCTCTGTTGTTTTTTTCTTTTAGTGGGGCAGATGCCTTTTTCAATCTCTCTTTCTCTCTCCGACCTTGCTAGAGTTCTTGTCTCTTGAAGCGATTCCAAACTCAACCCTTGGTCCTACCTCGGGAGTCAGACCCTTTCCTCGGGAAGGTATCTCAAGGTGAGTTGGTATGCCAGGTGGAAATGCAATCAGAAAGTGAGGTCAGAGAAATGGACCCATTGCTCTTATAATGGATTTGGCTGCTCAGTTCTGTGTGGTGGGTCTAGAGCAGAACATTTGCATAGGTAAGGCAGAGCCTGGGAAAGTTTTGTTTGGGGTCTATTTGGACTAGAATTCAGAGGTCGTGACTGAGGGGTTGAGTGTGTTATACTCTAAAAATGTAACCTTTTCCAAGCTGGGTCCCTCTTACATGCGTGTGTGTGTATGTTTTGTTCTTCTACACGAATGTGATTTAGTATGGTCATTTTTCTTCTGACTGAGAGGTGGTGATGGTGGCTTGTGTGATACAGAGGCGACCCACCTGTAGCCTTCGGGCTGCATGCCACCCTTGGCCTCATTTTAAAAGTTTGCAGGTAGCCGTCAGCTGCAACCCCTGGCAGGAACAAATGATTTGTTTCCTGGCACCCTGCTAGGCACAGAGAGAGGTCAGAAAGAGAGAAGTCGAGAGAAGGTGTTGTAATAGGATAAGTGGAGTGGGAACTTCCTACTTTTAGTCCCGGTTCTGTCTGCCTTGGTTTCGGTACTGCTCATGTCTGGCCTTGGCACCACCCACCGCTAGCACGAACACCTGATAGATGATCTGCGACAAAACGCAGCCCTTGAGAAAAGGACAGTTGCCCACTTGGGGCCTTAGATCCATCTGCGCATGTAGTTGTCTGGAAGGAGCAGTGGGACAGATCGCTGCCTTTGTAACTAGACGTGGAAGAGGCAGCAGAAGAAGAGCAAAGAAGTAAGGTTTAGTAGGAAAAACTGTACACCTTTTGCACATCCATGTACTTAGGCTTAGTAGGTGGCACATCCTATAAAGCAGGTACCATACTCCTCAAGAGATAGCATATCTTTTTAAAGCATTTGTTTGCTGCTAGCCATCAAGTCCCATCTGACTTATATCAACCCTTAATAGGGTTTTCATGGCATTTGCCTTTACCAGAGCCACCCTCTTGGGGCGTTTCCATGGCCGAGCAGGATTCAAACCCAGGTCTCCTAAGTCCCAATCCATGAGGCTGTTGCCTACGCCTTGCTGGCACCCACTAAACAAACAAGCAAGCAAATAAAGGAGTGGTGAATTTGTTGGGCAATAGAAAATAACCTGACAGGATGTTTGGTAGTTCTTGCTCAGAGACCCAAGAGATGTGTCTAAGCCTTTCAGTACTGAGAAGGTGGGGGTTCTTTGCTCAGCAAGCATTTGAGCACTTCCTTGCCTGTACTCAGCACACACACACATACGACATTCTTGTTTTGCTGTCAATTTCCCCTTAGAGTCTCTCCATCTCTGATTTTAAAAAGGAAGCAAAGCAAATTAAATTTCTGGAATGTTAAAGGCCATGCACAAACATGCTGGGCATCTGAGCCTCTAAAAGGTAAAGGACAGAAGAAAAGGGGCTTTTAAAAATGGCCTCCCAGGGAGGAACATGACTGTTCTTGAAACGAGTGCTTTTGTGGGTAGATGGGAGCAGAGGAGGTACCATGAATGGGCTGTTCTTGAGTGAAGTTGTTGAACTACAGCATGTGAAGCTGTGTCCGTACATTAATGGGAAATAAATATATGCCCATTTGTGGCTTTCTTTGCTTAGTTTTGTTGTGGCTCTCGTGCCCACTGGAAATCAGACCCCAAATGTTTCATTAACCCTGGAATCAAACGTACCAATCTGCAACCTGATCTGATGCCAGAATGCTTGAGAGCAAGTCCTGCTGAAACTGACGGGTCTTGTTTCCAGATTACATTCATGCAGGGTTAAATGTTGTCTAGTTTAATTTCTGGTTGTAGAATCTGGAGGGGTTTGTTTTCAAGTGCCACAGTTGTGGGCCTGCCGGTTTTGAAAAAGGGGCAGTTGTGGTTAAAGCTGCTCTCCCAACTTTTGGCCCGTGTAATCACACCGAAGAAGACTGAAACACACATCTACCTGTATTATGTTGTGATGACCGGCCTCATCATCTTCTCCCTAGAGAGGAAAGAGTTCTTTGACAAGTTCCTGCCCCCCGTGTCAGCCCAGCTAACCCAACCTACGTCTTTGGTGCCATCCCTGTTGGAGCTTAATACAGCTGAGCTGAGTGCGGCCCAAGAGTGGGAGAGTGAGTGGAAGAGCCAGGGTCTCGGATCACGCATGACTCCAGAGGTGGGCACGATGGACCGACCGAGTGGGAATCTGCTTATCTTGCCTCAATGGCTGGTAGCGCACAGTGGTGTGGTTATGCTTTCTGTAAGGAAAGGCACGTATGGTGACAAACCCCATAGCCAGAGTTCAGAACGTTACTTATTAAAATACAAGTTGTTCCTTATTCTCATTGTAGCATTTGGAGAAGCAGCCTGGTGCTGTTATGCATTTCACATTGTAATGTTGAAAAGCAGGGGGGAGGGAAAGCAACAGTAATCAGCCGACTTGTCGCTGCCCATTACTTTTTTTAAAAAAAGAAAGAAGATCTTAGGACTGAAAAGGGAATGCCATCAAATGTGAAAAATGCAATGGAAGAATGCCTCTAAAAGAATCCTTATAAAGTAACTGGAAAACTCTACTTAGTCCTGTAGTTACAGAGTCATTAGGGTAGTACTTCACTATTTCAAAAGATGAAGATCGAGATTCCTAACCAGAAGGCAAAGTTTTTTTCGTTCCTCAGATCCTGCCTTTCTGCAACTTCTTCAGTCCAGCTCTTCAGTATGTCCAGAAGGCCTTGCTAGATGCCTGAGTTTTCTAAGTGGACTAAATTGGTCTCCCTTTTCCTACCTTTCTATTTCTGAAAAATCTGGATCTAACCAGGACTCCTAAACTCTGGCCTCAGCGGAGCAGAACTCCCTCTCACCTGTCCTCTTCATAGCTTACTGTTTGATAGGCTGCTGTTTCTTTCCTTACAAGTCTGCACCAGAGTAACGTTGCCCTCTTCCCTTTACTCAGGAATATCGCCAGTGGAAGCATCAGCGGCTGCAGCGTCGCCTCCTGGACCAGCTACGGCAAGTTGCCCCTTGCGCTGGGCCTGCCCCTCTGGGAACAACGTCCCGCGATCTGATTCAGTTCCTGGGTACTTTTGGTGCTGGCCATGATCGTACTGGGGCTCTGGCCAAGGGGTCTCGCTTCACCCATACTCAGCACTTAGCCTATAAGCAGGTATGAGGGGGAAAGGGGGAGCATGTATGGTTAGAGGGAGGGTGCCGGTTGTCTTAAAAAGAGAGAGAACTGTAACACTTCTGGATCTCGGTGATTTGCCATTTTCAAAATACTGTTTGCAGAGGGAAGGAAGGTCAGGGTCTTACATTTGCTCTTCGTTTTGGTCCCCCTGACAGGAGGCAGAGCCCCCCTTGCAGGTGCAGACCCTGCCAGTCTCACGGACGTCAGAACAGGTAAAACATGATTTGGAGCTGTTCCTACGAGGTTGGCACTGGAAAAAGAAAACGGTTATCTTGAATTCATTTCCTGAAAGAACATGGATAGGGGAAAGGGTGCTGTTTTTAATAGAATCCATGCTAAAATGATTATAGTATAAGCAAAACCTTTACTAAGCATGCATTTTCAAAACCACTGCAAATTTATTAGTCAGTGAGTAAGTATCAAAATATATTTTTCCTCATACTGTATATCCTGCAACTTTAAAAAAGATCGTAGTACTGAAGTCATAATGATGCTAAGGAGGACTGTGGCTATTATCATCCCTTTCCTTTTGAAGTGATAAAGATAATGAAATCACACTACACACATACATGATAACCATTTATTTATTTAACACAACTTTATCTCTTTCCTTGGCCCAAAAGGGTCCCAGGGCATTTCTCTGTTACAGCTGACTGGAATAGCTGCTGGTTTTGATAGTTTGAATATATTCAGTATGTTGCATTTAAATGTGCTTCATATCCGTTGCTGTGGACCACTTATTCAGCCACATTTAGCCAACACATAGGGGACCTCTCTTCTTTGATTGCTATGATTTATGCCCCAAAGCACTGAATTGTACTCTAGTGTGGAATATAGGATCTGCTGCTGCTAAATGCTGTGAAGGTGAGGGGATTTTACCCCCATTCCCTACAAGCAACGGCCCTTATAATTATAAAAGAGATGCTCTAGTGGTAGGATGAGACTTTGCATAGAGGATGCTTAGAAATTAGCTTCCAACTTTATCTAGATTCATTCCCTGCTTCATCCCAAAAGCTAAGAGCAGCTGATGAACAAAATTAATTTTGTTTGCCTTTGCCTTCAGCAAAGATATACTGACAGATTGTTACAAATGCCACATCCTCTGCTGGCTTAGCCACAAACACCTGAAAAAGGTGTTACGAAACACTTAGGAAAAGTAGCCAGGGTTCAACTTTTCAATTGCATGGAAGAGGCAGTGGCGTCATCCATTTCTTTGTGCCCTTGTTTTCTGAATTCTAGCACACAGCAGATAATTTTTACAGGGGTATCTGCAAGGGAGCCCTCAAATTATAACTGGGCCCATGGGTGGTGACCGTCTCTGTCTAGGGCCAGGAAAACTTTGGGCCTACCGGTGCTTCATAGTGCCATTTGCACCATCCTATGCCACTGTTTGTCCTCTCTGGGGCTTGTGGAAGTTGAAGCCTAGTAAATCAAGATAAAAAGCCTAGTTCCTGACAGTTATTTTCTGACTTCTTTTGATTATCACTCTTGTTGCCCTGCTTCCCTCGTTCCTCCCTACCCCCCAATTTCAGGAGCTGCGGGAACAGCAAGCAACAGAACTAGAAGCCTTGGAAGGTGAGCTGGATCGTGTCATGGGCCAGATTGCAGAGATTGAGGGCCAAATGTCCACACTGGGGCTGACCCTCACACAGGTGAGAACAGAATGGGGCATGGTGGCGCTCTTGTTGTCTGGCTCTATTATTCTATGACCCTGAAAGGGACTTGAAGGGGTCTCTAAGGCCATGGCATGCCATCCCCTGCTTAATTCAGCAATCCAAGTTAAGGTAGGTCTAGCAGATGGTTGTCCAAATTTCCCTTAAATGCCTCCAGTGATGGGGAACTTCACTTCCTGAGGTAATTGGTTCCATTGTAGTACTACTCAGAATATGTTTTTCCTGACATACAGCTGAAATCTGGTTTCCTGTAACTTGAGCCCATTATTATTTGTCCTACACTCTGGAATGACCGAGAATAGATCCTGCACCTCCTCTGTATGGCTACTTTCTAAGTAGCTGAAGGATGCTATCATATCTCTCCTCCATCTTCATTTTTCAAAACTTTCTCAAGGGTGATCCTCTAGGGGAATTCTGTGTGTATATATTCAGTATAAATTTCCTGCCTTTCCAGGAAAAGGGGTGCTGAAGGCAATTGTAAATATTTCGGAGCAGATTGGTTGATGCAAGAATTTTGGGACCACTGGAATGACCTGTTCCTGGTACGAAGTGGTTATAGGAAGGCAACAAATGTTAAGGATGAGATGAAGAGTTAAGAGCAGAGGTGGAGAAAGGCACCAGTAACCTAAAGAGCACAATTCCCTGCCAGGATCTCTCCAGAAAGCCCATTTGAAGCACAGGGAAGCTCCACGGGAAGCTAGTGATGGTCTTGGGCTCCTCCCCATCTGTTACTGTGAAGCTTGGACAGGAGAATCTCCTGATGGGTTGCTGTTGTATTGACCTATGAAGGAGCCTTTTGAGCCACCTCTTCAGTCAGTCTTGGTTGTGGGGGCTGTTTCCTCCTCAGGTGGAAGGGGAAGTGCGGCAACGGCAGTTGGAAGTGGCGGAGCAAGAGCAGGCCTTGCGCGTGAAGGGACAGACGGTGGAGCTGCTGCCTGATGCCGAAAATAACATGGCTAAGTTGCAGGTAAATGGCAAAGAAGGAGAGGACAGCCAGGGAAACTGGGCTGAAGGTGGGAGAGAATTTGCCTTTTAAAAAAAAATTTAAGAGTGGAACCAATCAGGAACATATAGACCTGAGGCAGGAGGGAGGTGTTGGCTGATATAACTGTGGAAAACCAGCCTCCTACAATTGTGTCTTTGCCAGGAGGCAGAGGAAGGGGGTGAATATGAATTGCAATGCTCATAGGTGGAGGAGGCTGAGATGATGCTGAAGGAACAGAATCACCACTCAGAATCACTTTTGGGATGAGCTTGCTTTATGCTGCTCTGCTAGGCATTTATTTAAAATTGATTTATTCTGCGTTTCTCCTCAAAAAGGACCCAAGATGGCATACATCATTAAAAGACAATATTTATGGCTAAAAACAAGAAGTATACAGATACTTAAAACAAAATACCACTCTGAGAAATGGTAAACAAAAACTATCAAAAAGACGTTCAAGGCAGTGTGACACACACCAATTCATTAAAAAAAAAACTCCACTCAGGCAGCCAGTCACTAAAAGAAAGCCTGCCTGAAGAGAAAGGTCTTTGCCTGATTGTAGAAGGATAATACAGAGCCAGCCTGGCCTCCAGTGGGAGGGAGTTCCAAAGTCTAGGGGCAGCAGCAGAGACAGCCCTTTCATGTGTCCCCACCAAATGCAGCTGTGAAAGTGGTGGGGCCAAGAGAAAGGCCTCTCCTGATGTTCTTAACAGCCATGCAGGCTCATAATGGGAGACACTGTCCTTGAGATAGCTTGGACCAAAACCATTTAATTAATTAATTAATTGCATTTATACCCCACCCATTTAGTCAATTGACTCCTCTTCATAGGACTTCATAGGTTAGAACATTTGTTAGGTATTATCCAGTTGGCCCTGACAGCGCTACCTTCTTGGACTGCAGCTCCTAAAATTCAGGGGCCGTCCTGGCTGAGAGGTTCTGGGAGTTGAAGACCCAACAATGTATAATGTAGCACTGCCAAGGTAATCAAGTGGGACATGGTGGCGCTGCAGGATAAACCGCAAAAGCCTCTGGGCTGCAAAGTTAAAAGGCTAGCAGTTTAAATCCACTCGATGGAGTGACCTCCCATCACTTGTCCCAGCTCCTGCCAACCTAGCAGTTCCAAAGCATGTAAAAATGCGAGGAGATAAATAGGGACCACCTCAGTGGGAAGGTAACAGCGTTCCGTGTCTAGTTGCGCTGACCATGGAAACTGTCTATGGACAAACACTGGCTTTATAGCTTGGAAACAGGGATGAGCACTGCCCCCTAGAGTTGGACATGACTGGACTAGATTTCAAGGGGAACCATTACCTCAAGGTAATCTCAGTAGGGCCCAAGGGAGTGGAGGCACCCAGTTGATGATGTAAGACGTATGGAGCGGCATTGCTAAAACCAGGGAGGAGCAGGATGGTGCTTGCGATACCTCTTCTCCTTTCCTTGCCCTTTCCATAAATCATACAAAGATTTGAAAGGATGTAAAACATGGTGGGCCTTGGGGAATCTCAGCATCTTTTTACCCCTTTTAGGTGGTGGTTGAGAGTAGCGCACAGCGAATCATCCAGCTGGCTGCTCAGTGGGAGAAGCATCGGGTGCCACTGATCCAGGAATTCCGGGACCTCAAGGCCCTTTGTGACTCCAAGGAGGTGAGATACGCGAAAAAGGGGTGAGAGGAGTCCTCTCAGCCCGGGAAGCTCAAAGCCAATGGTCTTTTTCTCTGTTTCTTTATGCAGTTGGAATCCTCTCGGCGCCTCTCTGAAATCAGGGAGCTACACAACCGGATCCGTTTGGCAGCCGAGGATGCCAAGCACAAGGATGATCTCTACAAACAGCTGGTAGGTGGCTGTGTTGCACGGTGAGGCTTGCTGGTACACAGAGCAGTCTCGCACACCCAGGCTGGTTCTCCGGTGTGTGGGGGGGATGGCGTTTCTTGCATCGCTGTGTTTCTACAGAGGATCAACAATATCCTCCCACCCCAAATTCTGTGATTTCCCAGTACTTTGTAACTTGACATTGATGACAGTGTCTCAAATATACTATTTGCCACCTCCAGCAATGCTGCGTGCGTTTTACAGAGTTTGGAAACATAACGTTTTGGTCTATAAACCCATGCTGGAAAAGCAACTTCTCAGCTGTTGGCGTTCCATAAACCAAATTGTTAGTTTTTCAACTAGATAAAATACAGTCGTATCTGAATATGTCTGCTTGTTTGTTATAGATTTGCACTATTTAAATATTCTTAGTTTTTGAATCATTGATTTTGTTTAGTTTTGTTTTTGCTGGCCTGTTCGTCTCATTAACCCAGGTTTCCATTCTTCAAGTGTTACCGAAAGCCAGCCTGAGCAACACTTCAGCCCTGTACTTTCTCCTGCCCTTTTCTGTTCCCATATGGCTGGACAGAAAAAAAAAAGTCCTGCAGAATTTAATTTCTCTTTCTGGGGAGGCTGACTTTTTGCATTCGAACATAAGATTTACATTGGTTGTTGTAGGTTTTGAGAACACATAAGATTTACAAGATGTAAGAAACACCGGTCAGTTTCAAGACAAATTAGCTCCACCGCTAGATATTGTATTGTCTGTTCATTTTAACTAAGGAGAATTTGTTAAAATTTACCATTTATCTGAGGTTAGTAAATTGAGTACCCAGCTCATTGCGGAGGGGGAAGCAATGTGTAGACTGCATAATTAAATAATAAACCACACAGCTAGAGCTTTAAGCACTGTGTCTCTGCTATAACAGCAAATCAGTTTTCTTAGAACAAATGCCTGGCTGGAATGCACAGGAGAAGAACGGTTGGCAGGTTGGGAGTGGGTAATCCTTGAAGCTTTGCTCCTCCATAGAAACCAAAACAATAACCTGCCTAGGATTTCCTTGATATGCTAGTGTCTGTGTGCAGGATTTTTTTTTAAACTGTGAGTGATAGCATGTAGAGTAATGTGAGTCTAAAGGGATACATAGGCTTCTTACGCTGGGGAAAACTTAACCCCTACATTCTTTATTTATTTATTTATTGCATTTATATGCCGCCCATCTAGAAATAGTCTACTCTGGGCGGCTCAATATGTGGCACAATGGGGTGGGACTAAGCTATGAAGAATACTTAGCCTTGTAAAAGTGTCCGTCTGTTTTTGCATGTGTTTCCTTAACAAAGCCCCATTCCTTCTTTCATGCTGCCTGTAGCTTGTGGAGTTGGAATCGCTTCCCAAGGACGTCTCTCGATCTGCATATACACAGCGCATCTTGGAGATTGTCAGCAACATCCGTAAGCAGAAGGAGGAGATCACAAAGGTAAAAAAAAAAACCTCAGCAACCGAGCCCAATATATCTGAGAAGTTTTTCCCCTCAAATGTGGTCTGAAGCGTATCGTATGCCGTTAGTATGGAGCGAATTGCTACAGACTTGCAGGTGTGAGGGGTGTGTTTTCCAGTGCCCTCTGTGTCTTTAAAACACCATGACAGAGTTTTGCATGTAGGAAAGTAGTGTGATTAAGGCAAACATTCTTCTAATTAGTTTTGAATCTGCAGGGAGCTCTTTACACAAGGGAATGTTGAAAAATGTGATTCTTTTGGCACCTCACTGCAGTCCAGAAATATATACGTATTGCTGAGGCTGCTGATTATGTCCTTCTGACGCCGCACATGTATATTAGTCTGTTACTTTTATGTGCCATCAAGTCGGACCTGACTTGTCTCTGATAGGTATGTCCTTCTGACGCCGCACATGTATATTAGTCTGTTACTTTTATGTGCCATCAAGTCGGACCTGACTTGTAGCAACTCTGATAGGGCTTTCAAGCTAAGGGAATTATTTAAGGAGTAGTTTTATCAGTTCCACACACACACCAGCCCACAAGTTTCTATTATGAAGCTGAGATTTGAACACAGTTCTCCTGAGTCCTAGTCTCTCACACTATCAACTACATCACATTGAGTATCTATGTTAGTCTGTGGCCCCAGTGGTTCCCAACCTTAGTAGTTTTATCAGTTCCACACACACCCCAGCCCACGAGTTTCTATTATGAAGCTGAGATTTGAACACAGTTCTCCTGAGTCCTAGTTTCTCACACTATCAGCTACATCACACTGAGTATCTATGTTAGTCTATAGCCTCATGTATTGACTTGTATATGTAATGTAGATCTCCTGGACCAATCAACAGTGAGTTTTCAGGTTTGTCTCAAATGTGTTACTTTTTAGTGGCTGTCTCTATGCAACCTTAAGCTGAGAAAGTTGTCATACCTTGTAGAATCTTCCCTTTGCTTTTTCCTTTAAAAATAAATAAATAAATAAATAAAAACAGCATTATTCTTCTGCCACTAGGAGGCAACCCGTTGTTTCCGCCTTGCAGCCCTGAGCCACAGGGAACTGCAAAAGATCACTTCCTGTAGAAGTGTTTTTACCATAGAGATAGAAACAGTGAACAGACGGTATCACCAGCTGTTTATAACTAAACTGGTTTTCCACTGTTACTTTCCAGATAAAGTACAGAGCAGTTTCCAGCAGAAAATAAAGAGTGTCATCACAGTGCATCCATAGAGAAATGCATATAATGATTTTGAGGTGTGTTTTTCACACGTGCACACACATCTTAGAAATTCAGACTATGTGTCATTCTTGCTGTTGTTTTGATTGCCACAAGTCCCTGCTGAGGGCTATAAGTGGCCTGGCACTGCGATTCATTTGTGTCACCAGTTGCCCCTTGTGGAGTGTTCAGCCAAGATTTAGCAACTCCAGTGCTAAAGGTGAGGGAAGAGGTCAAGGAAGCCATAGAGCTTGTCAAGTGATGGGCAGTCTGTGTATTCTGATGGAGCATCTGTGGTTTTTCAAGTGGGATCAGTTTACAAACCCTGTGTACCTCTTATTCTTCTTGTACACGTCAGTAACTGTGAGAATGGCCTGGTTCCTCTTCGCTCTCTGTACCATTGATGATACTGCTGCAAAATCAAGGAAGCCTGAAGAACAGAATTTCCATTCCTTTACCCCGGTAGTAAAAAGAGTACCTCTTACTATCCATACCTCATGCAGATTTGTCTTGATGCTAACGTGCTGAACTGATTTCTGATTCAGGGAGCCGCCTAACAGAGATCACCTTCACAAATAGTAGTAGAGAGAGATTTAACAGGTTTTATGTGCATTTCCCATGAATTTAAATTGTGTGTTTGAAGAGGTCATGCCACGACATGATAGCATACCTGTGTGCTGAAATACAGGGATGCTGCAGTTGTACTGGAAACAGCAAAGGGGAGAGGCAGGGGGAGAGTCTGGACTCTTGCCTTCTTCCTACCATAGCCCTTCCTTCTTGTCCTGCCTCTGATGCTGGGACTGGTTCTGGATAGAAGAAAAGTGTTTGTTCTGAGGGGAGGAGGTAAGCCATGGGCCAACGGAAAGGCCTGTCTTTTCTCACCTGCTTGCCACCTTTGTTACTCACAGTTTGACTCAGTGTTGTGCTGACTTTTAGTCATTTCAGATTTTGTTGTTGTTTAGTCGTTTAGTTGTGTCCGACTCTTCGTGACCCCATGGACCAGAGCACGCCAGGCCCTCCTATCTTCCACTGCCTCCCGGAGTTGGGTCAAATTCATGTTGGTCGCTTCGATGACACTCTCCAAACATCTCATTCTCTGTCGTCCCCTTCTCCTCTTGCCTTCACACTTTCCCAACATCAGGGTCTTTTCCAGGCATTTCAGATTTTACACACATGCATTTGTCACTTTCACATCTAGCACTGCTTTTTCATATAAGAAACCTATAGGCATGCGAATACTGATGCACAAACAAAAATAGGTGCGTATATACATCCAGTTCTATGTGTACACACCCTCTCCTGTGCAGCTAAAAGATGCAAGAGAACGAAGGCTGAGTCAACCTTGAGCCGGCTACCTGGGATTTGAACCCCAGGTCGTGAGCACAGTTTTAGCTGCAGTACAGCGTTTTAACCACTGCGCCACGAGGCTCATTTGTCACTTTCACATCTAGTACTGCTTTTTCATATAAGAAACCTATAGGCATTCTAATACTGATGCACAAACAAAAATAGGTGTGTATATACATCCAGTTCTATGTGTACCCACCCTCTCCCATGCAGCTAAAAGATGCAAGAGAATGGCTTACTTCATTGCTCACAGTTGGTGAGAATGAAGCCCACAGGCATAACCTCTGGTCCCCTTCCGGCTCTCATTCTCTAACTTTTCACTGCCAGCCTGACTGGCTCCAGTTGCGTTGATGGCAAGATAGGGGACCGACAAAGATGACTTGCAACTTGTCTGAGCCACCAACAGGAGTGAGTCACCACTGGGTCCTAGATCTACAATAAAGAATCTCACTGTTCCCAGTTGGCTGCCTCTGTGGCAGTGGACTCTCAGGGTCCCCAAAGCCTGTGAATCTTTTTTACTCACTTGTTCATGCCAGGCCTGACAAAGTGTGTGGCCCCAAGCAGCATTTGCTTCCCTGGATTTTTAAGTGCTTTTTCATTGGTGGAGGACCTTTTGATTTTGGACCTTTTCCTGTTTTCTTGGCTTTTTCAGATCTTGTCTGATACCAAGGAGCTCCAGAAGGAGATCAATGCCCTCACTGGGAAGCTGGACAGAACTTTTGCCGTCACTGATGAGCTAGTCTTTAAGGTGAAAGCTGGTGTTAGCTGTGGGTGGGGAAAGGAGGGGGGGTCTTTGGACTTGCCTCCCGATTCTTAATTTTTCCCATCCGTTCCTTCTGTATTTCTTTCTGCAGGATGCCAAACGTGACGAGGCTGTGCGGAAGGCATACAAGTATCTGGCTGCTTTACATGAAGTGAGTGGGCTTCCTACAATAATACTATGATCTCCCTCCACTGTCATGACCACCATGTACACCTTTTCTCCCCGTTGCCCACCTTCCTAGGGATCTTTCCAGATGACACTGCTTCTTCTTCCCTTCCCACTAGAACTGCAGTCAGCTGATCCAGACTATTGAGGATACTGGTACCATCCTGCGAGAAATCCGGGACCTAGAGGAGCAGGTGAGACTTCTCTGAATCGGAGGTGGAAGTGGGAAGTGTTTATGGCTTTGAGATACAGATAGATAGAAGGGGGGGGGAGTTCCCCTTGTCCTCTGGATCACTGGTTCTTAACCTTGGGTTACTAAGGAGTTTTGGACTGCAACTCCCAGAAGCCTTCACCACCAGCTGTCCTGACTGGGGTTTCTGGGAGTTGCAGTTCAAAAGCATCCGAGTAACAAAGGTTAAGAACCACTGCTCTAGATATCTGTGCAGGTCATGTTCTGTGTGAAATTCCAGTATCCAGAGATCTGTTTGGCATAGCTTTCTTTGAAAGCATTCATAGATGCCTGCCTTTCAGTCATATCTTCCAATCAATCTTTCTAACTCTCTGCCATTCTACCCACCTTTGCTAATAGCTTGCCACTTCTGCAGTTAACATATACTGGCTCTAGGGTGAACTTTGTAAAAGTCAGTGCAGACTCAGAGCTTGGAAATTTTTCTACTTCTTTTAAGACCTTAACTTGCAGAATCCCCAAGCCAAGAATTAGTTCTAAAAGTCTATTGTCTGTGCTGTTGCCTCCTGTGCAAATATTTTGAAGTTCATTATAAGATTTAATTTGTTTTCATAGAATCATAAAATAATGGAGTTGAAAGGGGCTTAAAAGGCCATAGAGTCCAACTCCCTGCTCAGTGCAGGAATCCAAATCAAACTAGATCTCAACGTTTGCTGCCTCCTGAGGTAATTGGTTCCACTGTCGTACTGCTCTAACAGTTACGAAGGTTTTCCTGATATTCAATTGAAATCTGACTTTGTGTAACCTGAGACCATTATTACATGTCCTGCACTCTGGGATGATCAAGAACAGATCCTACTCTCATCTGTATGACTATCTTTCAAGTTTTAGAAAAGTGTCTCCCCTCGGTCTTCTTTTCCCAAGGCTAAACATTGCCAAATCTTTCCTCATAGGACTTGATTTCAAGTCCTCTGATCATCCTTGTTGTCCTCCTCTGAATTTGTTCCAGTTTGTTGGCATCCTTCTTACTCTTAGTGAGGCCTAGCCAGTACCAAACAGAGAACAGCTAGTATTTCACAGGATTTGGAGACTGTACTTCTGTTAATGCAGTTTAAAAGAGCATTTACCATTTTTCTGACCAAATCACACTGTTTGCTGATATTCAGCTTGCAATCTAGAACAATTCCATGATCCTTCTGACTCACAGTATTACTGAGCCAAATATCAATCATTTTGTAACCATGTTTGTTTTTTTTCCCCTAGATGTAGAACTTTGCATTTATCCCTGTTCAATTTCATTATATTGTTTTCAGCTCAGTGCTTGAACTTGTCAAGAACTTTTTTAATTTTGTTCCTGTCTTCCAAGGTATTAGCTGTTCCACCCAATTTTGTAACATCTGCAGATTTGATAAGCATTCACTGTACAGTACTCCCTTATCCAAGTCATTAATAAAAATGTTGAAGAGCACCAGGACTGAGCCTTGCAGTACCCCACTTGCTACCTCCTCCCAATTTGAGAAGGAGCCAATGATAAGCTCTCTCTGAATATGATTCTGCCGCCAACTGTGTATCCACCTGTCAGTTGCTCTATCCGTCCCACACCAAGCTAGTGTGCTTATCAGAATATCACAGGGCACTTGGCCAAAAGCTTAGCTGAAGTATCTATCCGTCCCACACCAAGCTAGTGTGCTAATCAGAATATCACAGGGCACTTGGCCGAAAGCTTAAGCTGAAGTCAAGATATATTGTGTCTACAGCATTCCCACTGTCTACCAGAGTAGATAACCAATCCAGAAAATGAGATAAGAGTACAGTGGTGCCTCGCTTAGCGATTTCCTCATTTAACGATGTATTCGTTTAGCAATGAGGTTTTGTAACCCCTATGGGGAAAATTCGCATAGCGATGTTTGGGACCTTGCCTCACTTACCGATGACAATTTTAGGTCCCCTGTTTCGCTTAGCGATGTTCCGTTTTTGCAATTTTAAGTGTGTCTTAAAAGGTTCAAAAACAGTTTTAAATGCTTGGAATTGTTAGTGCACCTTCTAAAATGTGTGCAAACTTAATTTGGCTTTGTTCTGAGTCTTCGTTAATTTTTGGTGAATTTTTTTCTCCCCCATTGGAAAGCATTGAACCCGATTTTTGACCCTTAAAATTGCAAAAACGGACATCGCAAAACCATTGAAATGCATTGAATAGGCTTCAATGCATTCCAATGGAGGATACATTGTTTCACTTAGTGATGTTTCCATGGGGATTTTCGCTTAAGGACGGCAATCCGTTCCCATTGGAATGGATTAATCAGTTTTCAATGCATCTCTATGGGAAAACATGTTTCGCTTAGTGATGTTTTCCCATAGCAATGTTTTTTTTAACCAGTTAACATCGTTAAGCGAGGCACCACTGTAATCTGGCACTATTTGGTCTTCAGAAATCCCTGTTGGTTTCTAGTTATTACTGCCTTGTTTTCAAGGTACTTGCAGAGTGACCACTTTATAATCTGCTCCAGAATTTTCCTGAGATTGATGTGAGGCTGACTTATCTGTAGTTCCCTTTTTGCCCTTTTTGGAGGTAGGGACAGTGTTAGCCTTCTTCCAGTCATGCAGCATTTCACCCATTCTCCATGATATCAAGAAATGAATAGATGGTGGTTCTGAGAGTTCTTCGGCCAGTTCCTTCAATATTTTTGGATGCAGTTCATCCACCCCTGGAGATTGGACTCATTCAAAATAATAAGGTATTCTTTGATTATTTGTTTATCAATCCCAGGCTGCAATCCTGTCCCATTCACTTGTACTTCACATTTGCCTGGAGAGTCATAGAGTATCTTTTGGGAAAAGACTGAGCTAAAGTAAGAATTGAGCACTTCTGCCTTTTCTTTGTTATCATTTTTCCATTCTCACTGAGTAGCACTATGTCTTTTTTGTGCCTTTAGCTGCACACATACCTGAACAATGCTTTTTTTAATGCTTTTAAACACTTGCTAACCTCAGCTCGTTCTCGGCCTTTGCCTTCTTACCACCATCCTTGCAATTCTTTGCTACTTTTCTATACTCTTCCTTTGTGGCTTTCCTTCCACTTCCTTCCTTGAGATTCTACAGTTTTGCTTTTCATTTAGTAGCTATTAGGAGCAAAATTCAACATTCTAAGGATCCTGGCATTCATTAATAAAAGGGCAGGTCTCCCGTCATTAAGGCTGCAAGTTGAAATTGTGTGGGTGGCTGAGCAGCTTTGCTGGTAAAAGGAGGTGGGGCTTCAGTGACCTTCACAGGTCTTCACCTTTTTCAATGATGAGCTGATGTAGAATTATGCCAGGAATGAACCGGAGACATCCTGCACTTTGCAAGGAGGCAGGGTTATACAGAGGATGCACGCTGAATCCCCCAGTTTGTGTAGGTTTGCATAGGAGAGTGTTTAATGCTACCTAATCATGAGAAGAGGATGTCATGGCTTATTGGATTACTAATTTTGACCAGCACTGGCTGAGCATGCAACCAGAGGGACAGAATTTGGGGGGTGGAAGATATTAGAGAATAGGATAGTGCTCAAACTGATCCTGTGTAGCACTCTAGCCTCAAAAGCTGTCAGAGACACCTCTCACCTTTTCCTTTCAGAAAGCTTTTATTTGTGACTGTTATACATGAAAAACTCGATGGCTGTTTGTTGTTACCAGCTCTCCTGTTGAAGAAATAAACATTTCGGGATTCAGATATACAATGCTTTTCCAGCTTTTTTTTTTCTTTGTTGTGAGGCCCAATGGGCTGTCTCAGGTGGATGAGTCACTGAGTGTGGAAGCATGCTTCTGGTGTAAGCCAAAGCTTTTTCACAAAATGTAAGCTACCCCTTTGTCTCTCACCTTCCCAGATTGAGAGTGAAACCAGCAAGAAAACCCTAACCAATTTGGAGAGGATCCTGAGTGATTACCGAGCCTTGAAGCAGGAAAATGCAGCACTGCTCAGCCATACCCAAGAAACGTGAAGACTTCCCCCACCCACCCCACATGGTGCTTCTGGGGCCTGGCCTCTTTCTTCCCCCTCCTTTTTCATCCAGACCCTGCTGTGCCTCTTAACAAGAAGGGCCATGTCGAGCAAGCAGTGCTCGTCCTTCCAGGCGCTGCCTGCATTGTGAGCTGCCTAAAAGCAGAATTTGCCAAGGTGCCGTGCATGGGCAGGAGAAGGCAAGAGTCTCAGTGCCATCCTTCTGACACAGGTTGTACATTGGAGAAGCAAATGCTGGGGGAAGGCTTTCTTTCTTCAACTTAATAGTTCTGGCAACCCAGCAGTTTCTTTTCCTCAGAAACAAAAACCTCACAATAAAATCCCTGTTGTTTTCTTTCTTTCCAGACTGCTGGTATTGATTGGAGTGGATTAACAAAAGCCTGGGGATGTGTTGGTAGTACAGGGTGTGATCATTTCCAAATTTTGGGTCTCCACATTTTAACATCTTTGGAAGGCTGCTTTCTGGTTTGGATGCATGGCCACCTCCAAGCTATATAGAGGTGTCAGCACAGAGCTTAGAAAAGTTAGCTTTTGGGCTACAGCTCCCAGGAATGTGCGCTCACACACACACACATACATACACCCATCCAGGATCTGGTTGGAATATGCTGGGAATTGTCATCCATAACAGTAACTTGTCCAAGCACTGGGCCATTTCTATCAGCGCACTGCAGTAACTAAAAAAGCCCCCTGGAAACATGTGCTCAGCACCAAGCCCTTTGGAGGAGATCAGGATCAGAGGAGGACATCAGCTCACAGTCCCCGAGGAAGCCAGAAAGGGGGCAGAGCAGACTGGCCTGTAGTGGATGCCCCTCTCCGTTCTGGGCTGGCCTGTCCTTTCCCACGCTAGAGGAGAGCTTCCCATGGCTCCTTGGCTGCTGAGGAATGACTGTGGATAAGTAGAGCAGCGCTGGTTCCTTTTCTTCCGGTACTCAAACTCGTCCACTGTCCACACAGCTCCCTTCACGTTCTCCACACGCACAAAGCACTTGTGCAAGCTAAGGTTGTGTCGGATGGCATTCTGTGGGGTGAGGAGAGTCTCTTAAGAAGAGGACCCCACTGGCTGTTCAGACTGCACTCTCCTCTACCCCGATCATCTGCACTAACTTTGCCTACCCCACCAAATTTCCACTCTTCCTCAGGCAACATCCTTCATTCCTGTTTTACTATTTTGTCCTCTGGTTCCCTTATTTACTCCATAGCTCTGCTCTCCAGCCCATTAAGTATAACAATAAACAACACACTTGAAAATAGTTGGAATATGTTTGGCTACCACTACACTGTTCCAAAAAAAAATGCAATATAGAAAGCTGCTTTGCACTGCATGATCAACTCTGGCAGCAGAGTCCTCTGTTTCAAGCTACGTTCTTTCTTAGCCCTACTGTAAGAGCCCTGGTGGTCTCCCATCCAAGTATTCACCAAACCAAACTCTGCTTAGCTTTGAAATCAGACAACAGCATCTGAATGCTCACTAATAAGAGAACTCCCAGTGTCGATTAAGCGGTTTACCACTGATACTACTTTTTCGTGGGTCCCTTATGTAATGCAGTATCAAACACTTAGAGTGTTCCTGAGAGTTCATCTTTTTTTTGGTCTGCGTACATCTCCCACACTACAGTAACTTTCTTATTACCTTGCCTCTTGCTTCCATTCCTGCCTCCCCAGTCTGTGGTCAAAAAAGTTATATTTCCAATTCTGCCTAGTATACATATCAAAGTCATTCAGAGCTTTGCTTAGTTTTTGAACTAGAAAATTGGGGGCTGGAGGAGCTGCTTCCAAAGGCTGAGATATCTAATTCTAATTTTCCTTCATACACCCAGTTGCTCTTGTTATTTCTGCTTTTTCCTCCTAATATAACAGGACACTCCCGACCCATTTTGTTTTCAGCACTCCCATACCTTCAGTCTTGCTACCTCTTAAAAGTTTCCCTAAGATCAAAACTGGAGCCAGCCCTCCTCACCTTCCAGGTAGGTATTTGGTGCCTGAAGTAACCAAAATTATTGTTGAACCAGCGATAAATCTCATTCAAGCTGAGCTGCTTCTTGGGAGATTCTAGGATGGCCTGAAAAAGCGTATACACAAAATCACATGTCGTTAGGCACAGGATCTCACAGCCGAGGCAGCCTAGCTCTTTGGTCGTCTGTGGGGCTTCTGGGGTTGAATTCATAAAGAGACATCCATTGTCTTAGTATTGTAAGTCCTAACAGCATTCATGCAGAAAGTGCTTGGAGAAGGAATGTGGCTAAGTTACACCCAGAGCCTAGAAAAGTTCATTTCTTTGATTATGACTCCCAGAATCCCCCAGTCCACACGGCCAAGCTCTCCGGCTGTACTTGGAAGGACTGAATGCAATGTACAGTTAATTACGGTGTTAATTGTTCAAGGGTGGCCTGATACGCTTTTCCTTCTCAGCCGTTCCTCTAAATGTGGTACAACACTTGCTCATGGCCCCAGCCTTCTGGGCAGTGTTCCTAGGGGGTCAAGTTGCCCCTCAAAATATGAGTCCTTGGGTTGCTGAGAGCTGGGACACATCTCCTCCCCCTCCTCCTCCCCCTTATGTTGTCACTGTTTATTCTGTCACATCCAGTGTGCAGAGAGAGGAAGTAAATGTAAAAATTCAGTGGCCTGCCTGCTCAAGGTTCAGCTTTTTTAAGCAATTTGATCTTGTAGTGGATGCTTGCAGCTGCCTAGTGAGTCTAAGTAGGCTTTGGGCTATAAGAGACCTCAAAGGTGGTTTTACTCAGTGCAGAGAAGCCGTAGGTTTCTGGACATGGGACAGTGCTGTAGCTTGGAAGCAACGGATAGCAATGCCCTGGGACTTGGCAAGAATCGAGCCCAAATAACAGAGCAATTCAATGGCAGAACATAGGATCTGATGTGGTGGAAGCCGTTGCGCAATGTGTTTAAAATGCAGGCAAGTGCTATTTGTACAGGGGTTCATAGCCACTTTTCGCAGTAACTTACCCAGCCAATGAGGGCAGCGTAGGTGAAAGGTGGCCGGGTGGTCGTGTGCCTGTAAAACTCCATGCTGGGGTTTCTCTCTGTCACGAGAAAAAGAAGATGGGGGTTTCAGTAAGAACAGTTACTTTTATGGAAACATCTGGCCTCAGGTTGTAGCTGGAAGCCCAGAATAGTAAACACACTCTTTTTTCCCCCCTTTTTCTTTCTAATTGGCAAACTTTGCTAGCGAGTGGAATCACTTGTCTGTTCCACTGCAAAGATTGGTTCTGGTGACCTCTGTTGAAGTGGACTTGCCAGATCTTTAGGGTCGGTAGGTTTTAGTATGTAAAGCAAAAAGTGATTCCAACAAAATTGCAGGGGGAGGGATCATCTTTCACATGTCTGTTTGTTTTTGACTATGATGTTGACTCCATCTACCTAAGAGAATATTGGGGGGGGGGAATGGACAAAGTGTAGTTTCTCACAGTAGCACAATGCGGGTTGCCAGCAACCAGGACAAGGAGAGTATTGTGCCCCTTAACCTGTGGACCTGCTCTTGCTCCCGCCTCCCTCCATTCCCAACAGGAGCACCGCTGATGGCCCCAGCCCAGCCTGCGTGGCTCCAGGAACCCGGCAGCTGCAGCAGCACGTCCTCCACCAGCCCCAGGAAGGGACGTCAGGCAGAGGCTACTGGCTTGTGCCCCTCAACGAGGCAGTCGACTCCCCTTCATCACCCAGCACCGTGCTTGTGCAGATGGACAGGGCCACCCTGGCCAGCCCAGTGGCAAGATAAGAGCACAGGGGATGTGAAAGGGCTGTGGTTTTGCATGCCCTAAAAATTTTGCGCACACACATACTCCATTGGCCTAAAACAGGTATTTAAAAACTGCAATTGCCCACATATCCCCTACAGGGCTTGAGTGGCGTTTTCTGTAAAGAACAACAAAAATGGGAGTGCCAGGGGCACAGGGATTGGTGTACCCACTCAGGCTCAGAGGGGCCCATGCATGTCTCCCAGAATTTAGAATGTGGTTACATATACATTAGTGGTGCGAACATCTTTAGGGGCTGAACATACATTCACCCTTTTTGATGGGAATTCCCCATTACTGTTCCACAGAGCTCTTGTGATGAGAAAGCTCATGTTGGCCTCTGTAAGCCTCCCCGTATCATAGATGAACGGGTGTGAGGGAGAGGTACTCTTTGTAGATAGCCTACCATCTGGCATGCAGCAGTCACTTCCACAGCAAATGTTGGGAACAGAGCCTCAACTTCCATTCACGCCTCACCTGGACAGTGATGGGCTTCACGCTGGTTGGGGAAGAGCATCTCACTCACAAACCCACTCCTTGGGTCTTTGGTCTGGCGTGGGAGGATTTGCCCTGGCGCGTATAGATGCTGTGAGTGGGAACTGGGTGCCAGCTCTGCCCGCATAGCATACAGTCTCTGCTTCTCTTGTGCCAGCTAGATCATGGAGACAAAGGGAGGTAAGAGAATGCAACCCCTTTCTTATACTCCTAATCTTGATAAAGTAAGAAACTCATGGCATATTCTTTCATTGATCCCACCCTACAGCTATTGAAAGGATGCAGGTGGGTGGGTGGGAACCTTTCCAGCTTTCAGACCCAGGGAGGGAACAGAGGAGTGTCGGTGTCTCAGAGAGTAAGTAAACAGGGGGATTCCACTCCCCACAAAAAACTAAGAGGCAGCAGGGAGGGAACAGAGGAGTGTCGGTGTCTGAGAGAGTAAGTAAACAGGGGGATTCCTCCCCCCTCAAAAAAAAATAAGAGATAGAAACATTGTGGCACCTTAAAGGCTAACTGCTATATTTTAATCTGAGTTTTCATGGATCAAGTCCACTTCCTCACACCTAAGAATTGCTTTTAAGTATGTTTTTACTATTGATTTTATTTACCGCTTTAATATGATGCTAGTGTAATTCTTTTTAAATATTTGTATAGTTATCGTTTGTAGCTTTAAAATATTGTCCTTTTCATATTGTAAGCCACTTTGAGTCCTTTTAAGGAGAAAGGTGGGGTAAAAACAAACAAGAATGAGATTACAGTAGGACTTTCATATTTATGAATGCCCTATGAACAGGTGGGAATACAGATAATGGACAAACTGACAATGGTTTATATGTTCATTAAAATAGGCAGTGAATATATATTTTTAAACGTAACAATAGCATAATTGACGTAAGTGGCAAACTGTGTGGATCATTATAACATTTCACCCTTGTTAATCGCTTAAGAACCCTTCACTGATACTCAATCCTGTTAAGTGGGTCTCCAGAATCTGTAATATACCTCAACTGTTTCCCTTACAAGTCTGGTTTTACAGTCATCGTCCCCCCTCCACCACTTCCAAAATTGACTTTCAGGTCATTCCAAAATGTTCAGGTAGATTGAAATGTTCTGAAACAAGTTTTTGGGTCAGATTTATGTCCATTAATTATTTTCTGTAGAGATTTTCCTGTTTGTCCTATGGAGGGTGTAGAAAAGGATTGTTGGCGTAGATCACATGAGCAGTAAACACATCCCTGATGTTGTGTGGGATGTTGTTGGGACCTATAATGGTGTTGCTCAAGTAGAGTGGAGACAGAGCTAGCATCTGGATTTGTAGGAGGGTTTAGTCCCCATCTCTGTCTCATGTTGTGTTGTTCACTGTGTGTGAATAATTGCTTCAGATTACAGGGAGTGGGGGTGTATTTAAGCAAGTACAAGCCAGCCACCAAGGACTTGGATGAATGAAATATTTTTGTCCAGAATGGGTTAAAGATTACTTATGACGTATTTCGTTGTCGTTTAGTCGTTTAGTCGTGTCCGACTCTTCATGAACCCATGGATCAGAGCACGCCAGGCCCTCCTATCTTCCACTTCCTCCCAGAGTTGTGTCAAATTCATGTTGGTACCTTCGCAGACACTGTCCAACCATCTCATCCTCTGTCGTCCTCTTCTCCTCTTGCCCTTACACTTTCCCAACATCAAGGTCTTTTCCAACAAGTGTTCTCTTCTCATGATTTGGCCAAAGTATTGGAGCCTCAGCTTCAGGATCTGTCCTTCCAGTGAGCACTCAGGGTTGATTTCTTTTAGAATTGATAGGTTAGTTCTCCTTGCAGTCCAGGGGACTCTCAAGAGCCTCCTCCAGCACCACAATTCAAAAGCATCAGTTCTTCGGCAGTCAGCTTTCTTTATGGTCCAGCTCTCATTTCCATACATCACTACAAGGAAAACCATAGCTTTGACTATGCGAACTTTTGTTGGCAAGGTGATGTCTCTGCTTTTTAAGATGCTGTCAAGGTTTGTCACTGCTTTCCTCCCATGAAGCAGGCGTCTTTTAATTTCGTGGCTGCTGTCTCCATCTGCAGTGATCATGGAGCCCAAGAAAGTAAAATCTGTCACTGCCTCCATATCTTCCCCTTC